AATTATAAGTAATTATAAGACAATTTTCTGTAAGATCTTTATAGTTTCTTTTGGAATTAGGTTGCTTTTTAACCCAAAAGTGTAGTAATTTCAAGTTAAATTTATATATAATTTTAATGCTAGACTATACCTATTAATTAATAAGACCATTGTATGCTGATCAGAGAATATATGTGAAAAACAGAAATTTTTTGGAATTTTTGATGTATCATTTGTAGGTCAAGACACAGTTACTGTTCATGAATGCTCCATGTATTCTTGGAAATTATGACTGTTGTCTTTGTTGGATAAAAATTTTATGTATGTATAAAAATGACTGTAAATACATTATTTAGAAATATTTATTACTTTATGTCTAAAAAATATGTAGAATATTTGTTCTTCTTAATCATGTTATTCCAATAATCAATATGTTTATTACATTTTCTCTGTTTAATTCCTCAGATTCTGTAACGTTTATGACAAAATATCAAGCAAGAATTGCTGATTTGTCTATTTCCTCTTTAGTGCTGTCAGTTTTTTGGTTTTTAAGTTATTTTGTTATGTATTTATATGCTAATGATAATTATGTTAATTATATCTTCTTGATTATATTATTTACTTTGTTAATATAGAGCACTCATTCATATTTATAACTTCTATCAAAAATTTGTATTGTTTAACATAAAATTGCTGCATTTTTTAATGTTGTTATCTTGTTATATTTTTTCCAATTGGTCATTTTCAAGCTTTCAGTATTATTTTTATTTGAAGTATTTCTTATGAACTCCCCATCTTACAGATGTTTCCTTTCTATGCAAACCTATGTCTCTAGCTTTTGTTTGGTGAGTATAGTCTATTTTTATTCATTAGCAGTACTCTAATATTACAACTTATTTCTGCTTCATTTCAAAATATGCAATATTTTACTATGCTTTTTTTTCTCTCACTAAATAGATCAAGATCATTTCTTGGCAGTGTTCATTCAATGCTTTAAGCTTCTCTTAGTTTTATTTTATCACATTTTGGCCTTATTTTTAAATTTTGTAGACACCCAGCATCTCCAATAGACTCTTCTTTATGCCTAGCTGTTTGGCCTAAGTTATATTTCCAATATCTTTCTATATCTTCCTGTGGATAAAGTCTATTGAGATTTTTGTTTATTCATCCCATTAATTCTTTGCCATAACACATAGCTTACTTAGTTTTCTGTCTTTATGTAGCACTTCCACCTTTTAGTTGTCTTGACCTGTTTTCCTGAGCTGTCAACAAAGTTGGCTGGTATTAGGGTTTGTGCCTCAGTGCTACTCATTCACCAGCTCTCTCCAACCACTTTCGCCAACACATACCAGAAAATGCTGCCCTTAATAAGTTAGAGGTGTTCATCTTACAAACAAAATGAAACAAAGAACACTGCCTTGGACCGTAGGCTGTATGTTCTGGGGACAAGACAACTCTCTGAAACTAGAGTCTTCCTCTGAATCTGTTGAAATCTGTGCCCTAATCTAACTAGTCCCTAAGGACCTCCTTGGTCTGTTGTAAGTTGATACAGCTGCTTCTAGAATACTGTGGTGAGTAGTGATACACTAATGGCAATTTGGGGGCAAGAAATAAACACAAGTGTAAAGATCTTACTTTTCTTATTCTTTAGCTAGAAGTCCTTGATTATGGAATGCACATTTTTTCAGCTCCCTTCTTCCATCTCTCACTGGCAACCAACCATTTTATTCTTACACAAAGATTTCAGAGACTTCATATTTACTTTCACAGATCTGAAAATCTCCAAATTCCTTCAGTATGATTGCAAGATTGGATTTAGATGAGGATAGAGGAAGAAGCCAAAAACTCATGATATTTTCCCCATCTTCTTGGGAAAATAAAGCTGGCAACAGCTTCTGGAGGAGCCATCATTTTTGTATACGTGTGTGTGTTTGTGTGTGTGCGTTGTTTAGAGTGTGTGTTTCTGCCGTAGCTTTCAGTTTCAGTATCAATATTGGCTAATTTTTGCCTAGGCTTTTCATAATAAAATAAAAATATATCCAAATACCTAATTTTTTTTCTCCTAATGTGTGAAAAATTTTTAACTATGAGTTTTTCTTGAGTTTCCAGCATGTACATACCAAACAAAAGCAAAGTAAGATGTAAACATTCATAGCTTTACTCTCTTCCAAGCGGGATGAAAAGATTTCCTACATCTCTCCCTGCCTTTCTAATAGCTCACCAATACAGTTGCATTTAAATATTTAATTCTGTTCTGAAACTTTCTGCTTATAAAATTGTATCAGCTTGACCACATAACAAACATTTTAAGGTCAATAGCACAATTGCTCCACTATGAGTCTTGCTTTCATATGGAATGTAACAATTCATTTTTCTGAGGTTATTAATATAAGTACATTTCATTGTAATATTTAAGTTTCATTTGATTAATTTCAATGGTAACCTTAAGGTTTTGAATAAACTTTGAAAGAAGCTAAGTAGCTTCCCTGCAGAATGACTCTATTTTCTTTCAAGATATAGAAACATTTTGTAAAATTCTATTACCTCCAATATGTTGAGGACTTTGAAAATTTTCATTGACAATTAGTTGTCATCCAACTTAAGATAACAAAACACAACAAAGAAACTCGGCATGTCTTTATGTGAGAAATTTCAGCATATTACTTACTTTTTCCATTTGTTATCTATGTCCAGTATGTTTGGCTTTAGTTGAAAAATAATTTGTGCTAATCTAAGACATTGTGCCAACTGAACCTAAGATAAATCGGCCTTGCTATATTCATGATCAGGTTTTATTTTAAAACTCCCCTTTTGCAAAATCAATGTTCCACTTTTTTCTCTTACAGAATTATTTTACCTTACCAGAAAAATACGTAACTACTTATAGAATTTTTATAAGTTTAGAAGGTAGATGTTTTCTTCAATGTAAAAATTAAAGAAGAAGCACACCTAATTAACTTCAATCACTAAAAATCATAGTCCAGGGTTACTAAGGTTCAACATTCCACAGTTTAAC